AGAGAGAGAGAGAGAGAGAGAGAGAGAGAGAGAGAGAGAGAGAGAGAGAGAGAGAGAGAGAGAGAGGGGGCTGGACCCTAACGTCGCTAGAAAAGAGGAGACACGATATAGACATATAAAATACTACCTTAACATTTACTAGCCCGTTAAAAAGAGATAATATTTATAATAAATACCAAAAGAGCATGTATGGAAGCTTTAGGAACAGGTAAGCCTTAAAGATGAAAGAAAGCTTTATCCAGTGTAAGAGTAGCAGGCAAATGGAATGAACAAATAGGAAGTTATAGAAGTGATCTCTATTCATAAGTTCAAAAGGAGATTGATATACAATTAGAACGAGAGTAATTGCATTAGACAATCTTAATGTGGCAGGCTCAAATAGATGAGTGCACATAAACACACACACACACACACACACACACACACACACACACACACACACACACACACACACACACACACAACACACACACACACACACACACACACACACACACACACACACACACATGTACGTGACCAAGTGGACAGCGCTCGGGAGTCGTAGGTAAAACGGCCTGGGGTTCGAATCCCATGACGAGGCAGAAAGAAACGGGCAAAATTTCTTTCACCTGATGCCTCTGCTCACCTAGCAGTAAATAAGTACTTGGGCAACAGCTGCAACAGGTTGCATCCTGGGTATGAATGTGTGTTAGAGAGAAATACAGTATATATATGATAAGAGAAAAAACGGTTAGGAGTAAGTCTATTAGACAAGAGTCAGAAAGACGGGGGTCCAAGAGCTAACAACCAATCTTGCAGGTACAAATAATAAATACTAATAGTCAATACACACATCCTAATACCAAGGTGGTAATGACCTAATTGCAAGCCTACTGAGCTAATTAGTTAATTGCCTAATTGCAAGCCTACTGTTCCAATTAGGTAATGACCTAATTGGTAATGACCATAATGACCTTATGGGTTATTATCTTATGGATAACCAGCCCAAGTGGTTGAGACAAAAAAAAAAGAGGGGGAAGGAATGGTGACCAACCACTTGGACGGTCAGGGGGGATTGAACGCCGACCTGCTTGAAGGGAGACCGCCGCTCTACCGTCCAGCCCAAGTGGTTGGGGAAAAAATGTATATACAAAAAAGAGGAGCGTATGTATATATAAAAAAGAGGAGCGTACGTATATACGAAAAAGAGGAGCGTACGTATATACGAAAAAGAGGAGCGTATGTATATACGGAAAAGAGGAGCGTATGTATATACGGAAAAGAGGAGCGTATGTATATACGAAAAAGAGGAGCGTACGTATATACGAAAAAGAGGAGCGTACGTATATACGAAAAAGAGGAGCGTATGTATATACGAAAAAGAGGAGCGTATGTATATACGAAAAAGAGGAGCGTACGTATATACGAAAAAGAGGAGCGTATGTATATACGAAAAAGAGGAGCGTATGTATATACGAAAAAGAGGAGCGTTCAGGTGGCCATTACGGTAATCACACGAGGGCAACGAAGCCACAGACAGCTCTTAGGCTCTTCCCCCTTCCTCGAACCTTCTCATCGGTGAGTTTAGCATGAAAGACCTGCTACGAGGACCCGACCAACAGAGCTTGCTTGGTCAAGCAAGGTTCTCAAGCCCCACCCCACCCACACCTCCAAGGTAGCTTTAGAGAGTGGGGAAGAGACGGAGAGTGGAGAAAAACGATGGAGAGAACTGGGGAAGACAAACAGATCGAAACAGGAGAGAGAGAGAGAGAGAGAGAGAGAGAGAGAGAGAGACGAGAGGGAAGATTCAAGAAAGGAAGAGCAACGACACCATCAACACGACCGTATTCTCCTCCTTTAATTAATAAAGAGCGAGGAAGTCACACCGGAAAGAAGCCTCGCTAGTATTCAATAGCCCATAGCATATATAGAGAATGTTTGTTCAGTGCTGGGGGACAGACGCTTGGAGCAAGACTAAGTCAATTTTGCAGGGTTAATGGTCTTGGTCCGGAGATTATTGTTGGCGGTTCTAGGCTCCGCCTCCGCACTTTGCACGATATGGCAAATTGCATCAATCTGCAACAAGGCTAAATGCCAGAATCTGTTCTCACTGAGACTATTCTAGCATAATATTTTCTGTGATGATTATAGGTTTCACTTATCTAGTTAATTTATTGACGAAGACGGTGGTTAGTGAAAATGGTTGCTGGGAGAAAAGGAAGGTGGTGAAGGGTGAGGGAGATGGTGAAGGGTAAGGAAGGTGGTGAAGGGTAGGAACGGTAATGAGCAGAGAGGGTGGTGAGGTGTAGCGGTGGTGGAGAAAGGTAGGGAAGATGGTGAAGATTAGGGAGGAGGAGGGCAGTGGTGTTGGGTGGGAAGGGGATGGTGAAGGGGAGGGTGAGTAGTTAAGATGGTCACAGTGACAAAGATATATGTGGATTAATGATGATTACAGTGATAAGGAGTTTACATATAGTGAAGATCTGGCCTTTCCTGCGGTATCCGCAGGAAAGTCTTGAAAAGTAGTTTAAGATTTTGTGTGCTGTCAGAAATATTAAAGACGGTCCTCATGCCTTCACAACCTGGCGTCTGCAACACTGCAAGACGGTGCTAATTAAGATGGATCGCAACAAGCTCCTTACTGTACACCGGAAATATTTATGCTTATATATATATATATATATATATATATATATATATATATATATATTATATATATATATATATATATATATATATATTATATATATATATATATATATATATATATATATATATATATATATATATATATATATATATATATATATATATATATATATATATATATATATGTCGTACCTAGTAGCCAGAACGCACTTCTCAGCCTACTATGCAAGGCTTGATTTGCCTAATAAGCCAAGTTTTCCTGAATTAATTGTTTTTCGACTACCTAACCTACCTAACCTAACCTAACCTAACTTTTTCAGCTACCTAACCTAACCTAACCTATAAAGATAGGTTAGGTTAGGTTAGGTAGGGTTGGTTAGGTTCGGTCATATATCTACGTTAATTTTAACTCCAATAAAAAAAAAATGACCTCATACATAATGAAATGGGTAGATTTATCATTTCATAAGAAAAAAATTGAGAAAATATATTAATTCATGAAAACTTGGTTTATTAGGCAAATCGGGCCTTGCATAGTAGGCCAAAAAGTGAGTTCTGGCTACTAGGTACGACATATATATATATATATATATATATATATATATATATATATATATATATATATATATATATATATATATATATATATATATATATAATGCATGGTTTTTTGTTATAAATGGAACATTATAATACAAAGAAAGTGTGGAAATTATCTTGTCAAAATGAGGCTCTCTTCAACCAGGATTGAAGATCAAAAATATAGTCGTATATCGAGTCAGAAAACAAGTCTTAGAAACCTCACTGAATTAAAAACACTATACTATTTTTTAAATATATGACAAGATACATGAACATATGTGACTATAGATAGTATTAGGGTAGACAGGGGCATGAGCTAAAGTGGTTAGATAATAACAGAATAGACAGACACATAACAATATATAGTTAAGATAGACAGGAGCATGACCTAAATCAAAGTGTTTTGATAAATCAGGATATTTAGGAACATATAAAAAAAAATCATCGCATTTAAAGCTGTTACTATGTAGATTACACGTTACCATAGCAACACCCTCTCGTAAATTGTGAGGGGTAATCTGAATTTGTCGTCCTCATAACACCACTCCTTCATAAACTGTGAGGGGCAACCCGGAAAGGAAATGGGGGAAACTATTAGGAGAATGCACCAAGCCATTACGACTATATAGCAAAGGTAACCTGGAATATTCGTTCCCTTCTCTGCAACACTGCCTCATCAATTGTGAGGGGGTACCTGGGTCAGTCGTCCCCCTCTGCAACACTGACTCATCAATTGTGAGGGGGGTACCTGGGTCACTCATCCCCCTCTGCAACACTGCCTCATCAATTGTGAGGGGGGTACCTGGGCCACTCATCCCCTTCTGCAACACTGACTCATCAATTGTAAGGGGGGTACCTGGGTCACTCATCCCCCTCTGCAACACTGATTCATCAATTGTGAGAGGGTACCTGGGTCACTCATCCCCCTCTGCAACACTGCCTCATCAATTGTGAGGGGGTACCTGGGCCACTCATCCCCCTCTGCAACACTGCCTCATCAATTGTAAGGGGGTACCTGGGTCACTCATCCCCCTCTGCAACACTGCCTCATCAATTGTAAGGGGGTACCTGGGTCACTCATCCCCCTCTGCAACACTGATTCATCAATTGTGAGGGGGTACCTGGGGCACTCATCCCCCTCTGCAACACTACCACTCTCCTCCCTCTCTTCCTTTACAAAGTTCTCGGTCACAGTTGACGAACGAAGAACAGCGTGCAACGTTGCTTCTCAATTGGACGTCTTATTAAAATGTGGCTCACCTGTATATCTCATAACATTCTTATTGGGTAATTATTCTGTTGCCATTTGATTGTATAAGAGAGAGAGAGAGAGAGAGAGAGAGAGAGAGAGAGAGAGAGAGAGAGAGAGAGAGAGAGAGAGAGAGAGAGGAAGGGAGGGGGAAAGCAGGGAAAGATAGTGCTCTTCTCTTCCTTTACTCTAAGGGAGGGAAAGGGAAAGGAAACGGAACTATCAGGAGAAAGCGCCAAGCCATAACGGCAATACATCACTTGGAAAGGGAAGGACTAAGGGAGGCTAATAGTAAAGGGAGGGCGGAAGGGCGAGATTAAGGGAGGACTAGGGGAGGGCAGCTAGCATAGGGGAGGCGTCCAGAGAGGGCAGGTCACGGCTCGGTGCCCCTGGACGCAGCCAAGCATCAGCTGACTCACAACCCGTGACCACTAGGCTTAGTTAACATGCACCTCTCTGCCATCCTATATCCATGCGTACACGGCTCTGTCGGTGCGTTCACGGCTCTGTTGGTGCGCACATGGCTCTGTTAGTGCGTTCACGGCTCTGTTGGTGCGCACATGGCTCTGTTAGTGCGTTCACGGCTCTGTTGGTGCGCACATGGCTCTGTTGGTGCGCACATGGCTCTGTCGGTGCGTTCACGGCTCTGTTGGTGCACACATGGCTCTGTTGGTGCGCACATGGTTCTGTTGGTGCGTTCACGGCTCTGTTGGTACGCACATGGGTCTGTTGGTGCGTTCACGGCTCTGTTGGTGCGTACACGGCTCTGTTGTTGCATACACGGCTCTGTTGGTGCGTACACGGCTCTGTTGGTGCGTACACGGCTCTGTTGGTGCACACTCGGCTCTGTTGGTGCGTACACGGCTCTGTTGGTGCGTACACGGCTCTGTTGTTGCATACACGGCTCTGTTGGTGCGTACTCGGCTCTGTTGGTGCGTACACGGCTCTGTTGGTGCGTACACGGCTCTGTTGTTGCGTACACGGCTCTGTTGGTGCGTACACGGCTCTGTTGGTGCGTACACGGCTCTGTTTGTGCGTACACGGCTCTGTTGGTGCGTACACGGCTCTGTTGGTGCGTACTCGGCTTTGTCGGTGCATACTCGGCTCTGATGGTGCGTTCACGGCTCTGTTGGTGCGTCCATGGCTCTGTTGGTGCGTTCACGGCTCTGTTGGTGCGTTCATAGCTCTGTTGGTGCGTATATGGCTCTGTTGGTGCGTTCACGGCTCTGTTGGTGCGTACATGGCTCTGTTGGTGCGTTCACGGCTCTGTTGGTGCGTACACGGCTCTGTCGGTGCGTACACGGCTCTGTTGGTGCGTACACGGCTCTGTTGGTGCGTACACGGCTCTGTTGGTGCGTACACGGCTCTGTTGGTGCGTTCATGGCTCTGTTGATGCGTACACGGCTCTGTTGGTGCGTACACGGCTCTGTTGGGCGTACACGGCTCTGTTGGGCGTACACGGCTCTGTTGGTGCGTACACGGCTCTGTTGCTGCGTACACGGCTCTGTTGCTGCGTACACGGCTCTGTTGCTGCGTACACGGCTCTGTTGGTGCGTACACGGCTCTGTTGGTGCGTTCATGGCTCTGTTTGTGTGTTCACGGCTCTGTTGGTGCGTTCATAGCTCTGTTGGTGCGTACATGGCTCTGTTGGTGCGTTCATGGCTCTGTTGGTGCGTTCCCGGCTCTGTTGGTGCGTACACGGTTCTGTCGGTGCGTACACGGCTCTGTTGGTGCGTACACGGCTCTGTTGGGCGTACACGGCTCTGTTGGGCGTACACGGCTCTGTTGGTGCGTTCACGGCTCTGTTGAAGGGTACATGGCTCTGTTGAAGCGTTCACGGCTCTGTTGAAGCGTTCACGGCTCTGTTGAAGCGTTCACGGCTCTGTTGAAGCGTTCACGGCTCTGTTGAAGCGTTCACGGCTCTGTTGAAGCGTTCACGGCTCTGTTGATGCGTTCACGGCTCTGTTGAATCGTACACGGCTCTGTTAAAGCGTTCACGGCTCTGTTGAAGCGTTCACGGCTCTGTTGAAGCGTACACGGCTCTGTTAAAGCGTTCACTCCGTTCTACAACAAAGGCAGAAAAATGAGTCATTTATATACCTTTTAGGTCGTTGGTGACACTGTCACCTTTTAGATCGTTGGTGACACTGTCACCTTTTAGATCGTTGACAACTCAGGTTTGATCATTGACGATCCAATCACTGCCATATTGCCTCGTTTGACGATGATATTAGAACGTTCGGAACCCTATTGGATCGTTGAACGAGCCCACTGGTTCGCATGGCACCCTCATTGGATCGTTGACGACCCAACTGGATCGTTGCATGACGATCCAAATGGATCGTTGACGACCCAAATGGATCGTTGACGACCCAAATGGATCGTTGACGACCCAAATGGATCGTTGACGACCCAAATGGATCGTTGACGACCCAAATGGATCTCTGACGATGCTATGGAGCGTTCATGGATCAAACTTCAGAGTTATGATCGAGCCTAAGTTGTGTAGATGACTTGAGTGATGCTGAGGCCAACCGGTCACGAAGTTGGTTGATGCTGCTGCAAACTGCTTGTCATCTTGCCCGGATGCTGTGCTCGTCATCTCGGCCATGAGGATGCTGTGCTCGTGATCTCACGGGGATGCTGCCCCTCATGAGATCAAAGAGGATGCCCGCGCTCATGATCTGGTTAAGTAATTCGTGAGGATCTGTGCGTGTCCGCAAGAACACGACTGTTCTTGCGAAAGGAGATTAGTGAGAACATGGTTCCAAAGACCCTGAGATCATTAAGCCTGTTTTTTGTTTAGAAATGTATTGGTGACTGCTCTTTTCACCTTTTCTATCTTCACTTCATGTGTAGCCCTATATATATATATATATATATATATATATATATATATATATATATATATATATATATATATATATATATATATATATATATATATATATATATGTATAATATGTGCGTGTGTGTAGATCACGAAAAATAAACACGTGATTAAAAATGTGACAGTGTCAGACCACGGAGGAAAATTGAAACAGAAATTTCCTTAAGTACTTTCGTATATTAATACATCTTCAGAAGGAGTGGTTTTACAGGTCGAGTACTGGACTCCTGCCTATTTATGTCCAGTACTCGACCTGTAAAACCACTCCTTCTGAAGATGTATTAATATACGAAAGTACTGAAGGAAATTCCTGTTTCAATTTTCCTCCGTGGTCTGACACTGTCATATATATAATAGAGAGAGAGTGAAGAGTGAAGCGTGGTGGTCAACCATCCGCCAGGGCCGGTCACTTGACCACCAAGAATTGGGGACGAAACCTGACTTTATGGAAAAATTGGGACGATAGAGGAGTGAGGAAGATTGAAATAAGGATAAATTTAAAACAAATGTTCCTTTCTCTCATAGTGAAATTAAAGGAATCAACAAAAACACTGCAGAGTAGCGAATAAGTGCCTCCAGTTGGAAAAAAAATAAATAAACAAATAAATAATTAAATAAATAAATAACAAATTAAAACAGATTAAATTGAGGCTACATTGTATTGACGTGCTATATTGAAGCTTATATGGGGATCTAATTTGTACCTGCCAGAGCTTACATTAAGGCTGTTGTCACATTGTTTGATCAGAGCGGACTCAATCACATTTCGTTCAACGAAACCCTTTCTTTTAACAATACATTTGGCCCCATTGAAGTCGATAGAATGATCACATAAACGGGAATGTAAATACAATGCACTGGAGTGCTAGGCTGTACAAATAGCATATGAATGTTGTTTTAAACGTGAGGAAAGAGATTTACCAGTTTGCCCGATGTAAACACGTGCATACACTTTGTAAGGGATGGAGTACACACAACCTGCTACAGACGAGGGCGAGTTCTTAATTAAAATGGACTTATTTCTTTAATTATTTATTTTTTCCAACTGGTGGCACTTATATGCTACTCTCCACTGTTTTTGATGATTCCCTTAATTCCATTGTGAGAGAAAGGAACATTTGTTTGAAATTTATCCAACTGTCGGAAAATCCGACACCATTTAATATATCATACAGACAGATAAGAGCTGTGTTGTATAAACAAGTAACCCATAGAAAACGTAACTTGTAGTGGAATTACCGTCTAAAGAAAACGGGATATCATCACCACATACCATTATAATTCACCAGCTATTCTGCTGGGAATTATTCTTAAATACATTAGTCTTTGGACTTTACCATCATAAAAACATCTTATATAAATTAACTTAATTATCAATATTAAAGTAGAGTAAATGTGACCCTTCTATCACTTTCTGAAATCTGGACAAAGTAGGCCAGGCGTCAGAGTGGGGAAGGAGGGCAGCCATTGTTGTTATACGAGACCAGAGGCTCACACGGGAGCAAATTCAGCTCCTGTTAAATTTACTTGGACGTAGTGTTATGGAACCCAAAGGTGTACCATTGTCAACACGCTGTCTACAAATTCAAGTTAAGTCTATCCGAAACCCGTTTATCATTCATTTATGGCCATTAATGTCAGGATATAGGGTTAGCCGGTTAGAACGCGAAATCGCCTCATACTAAAGGTAATTAAGCCAGGTCTTTAATGTTCCATGTACCATATAGTGTTTTCTCTGATATAGCTTGTCATATATAGGATTCTGGCTTCACAGCTAGCGCACTTTTGACAGGTCAAGACGAGGATGCAAGATTATGTGCACCAGTTACTGGGTGATAGAAGCTACCTCAAAGAGGATAATTTGGTGTCTACACTCTAGTTATACCTGGTGGACTAACCTGCTGTACTATAAGAGAAGGAACCTCATCAATGTATGTAGTTATTACTGTAGTTTGATTGGCTGCATATATATTAATTTAATAAACCCCCCTAATGTGTAGAGGATCGATTTGTGAGATTAAGAGATTATTGCAGAAATACAGTCCACTTATCATTATACAAATTGCTATCGAAGTATATAAATTAACGTAAATATAAATTCATATAAATTAAATAAATATAAATCTCACAGGTCGGTTCCCACATTATTTGGTCCTTCGAACCGGATGACGGATTATTCGGTCCTTTGAACCCACATTTGGTCATCTTAGTACCGGATGAACCAGTTATCCAGTGGATTCATTAAATATACTAGTGCAGTGTTATTTAAACAAAGCCAGCAGTCAAGACGGCAGCGTAGCCTCGAGGGAGCTCAGGAGCCTCCCTCAGCCCAGTTCAGCTTCGTCAGCGGTTTCATGCACACCCACAGAAATTTGGTGGCGTGTTATTTCGTGAAATGACAGCGCTAATATAGAATCCAGCCAAATTAGTGACTGTGTCTTCGCGAGATTGTTCACGGATTTCGTGGTGTTACATTTCGCGAGAGATTATCTACGAATTTTGTGGACTTTATTTCGCGAGGTCACTAATAATATTTAATACTTCTAGATAATATTAGAAGTTTCATAGAGGCTAATTAAGAGGCTATTATCAATAATTGTGTATATTATTTCTCCAAAATAGAGAATTATTTAATATATATTGCACTAGTGATCACAGTATAATATTTACTAATTGCCAACCCACAACAGGGTAGGATATGACTAGTTGAACTATTATCGTTCATCCTAGTCCCATTATTACCATAGTCAGTTGTACTATATTGAACAACCTAACACCATTAATGAATGGTCCAGACCCTATTTTGGGTGTAATTTTTATCAACTCGAGTTGAGTTGTATATATAATAATTTACTTATGATCATTACACCTTTGAGTGATTAATTAGTGTCTCTACCATCCTAGGGTGATATAGAAGAGCTAACCTAAAGGTACTTCCAGTGACACTGGTTTATCACTCAAATCATTAGTGTGTATGATTGTATATATATAATGTGTATTAATTTTAAGTGCTAACCTCTAGTAGAGGTAGGATTATTGCCTAGTGAGTTCAGAATTTACCCTAGGCTACCATTAGAGTTTGTTCAGTATTATGAGCAGCCCAAGTACAAGTCCCACAAGGCTTCACCAACTAGCCAGTATGGATAATGCAGGGAGAATGAAAAGAACCCTTGCAGGTCTTAAAGGCCACTTAACAAGACAGATCAAGAAATGTGAAGATTTGTCACAACAATCAACAGTTGATTATGCTGACCTGGAAAGCTATTATCAAGCAGCTGCAGGTAAATTTGAGCAAATCAAATGTCAAATAGCAACATATGTGGCTGAACTTGCCAACACCAATTTATCAGAAACAGAAATAGACGACATTATGGTTGATCTTGCGAATTATGAAGATCACACTCAGGCCACGTTACAGCCTTATGTCAAATTAATTGCCCAGAACAAGGCAACAGCAACAACAACAACAGTTGCATCTAATACGAGTCAAGCAGAAGCTCGACTCCCTCCAATTAATTTACCCACTTTCTCAGGAAAAGATGAGGAAGATTGGGACGAATTTTGGAACAAATTCGTTGACCTTGTAGACTCAAAACAATCTTTACCAAAGAGTAGTAAATTCTCTTATTTGCAAGGCCAATTATCAGGTGAGGCTAAAACAGTAGTATCCCATCTGAGATTAACTAATGA